CCCCCCTCAACCCCTCGCCCCCTTATCCCCTATCCTCACCCTCTCGTCCTCTTCCGGGATCTGAGGCGCCCTCGAGCGGAGCGCTCAGGGCAGACCTCGTCGACGCGTGCGGGTTGGCGCAAAGGCTAATTTGTAGATGGCACAGGGCAGGAGGAGCTTGTGCACACGGATCCACCTATGTCCGCCCATGTAGAAAGTACCTCATTAGAATCCTCTGGGTGGAATTAGCCCGCGGCTCCAATTATCGCCCGATCGGTCCTCGAGGTCCGTCGAGTTGCAGCAACCGCACGCAAGTGAGGGTGGGTGGGTGGGAGGTGGGTGGTGGGTAGGAGGACGGTGACCCTCCACATCGGATATCCGGATATCCGCGTCGCGACGTCACCGGCTATTCCGCCAGCGCGTGGACGCGCCTTTTACTTTTAGCGTCGCGACGCTCCCTATCGCCGTCCCATCGCGATTCGGGCCGCTCATCCGGAAACGCTTGATACGCGCCCCGGAAACGGGGAGGCTCTTTTTACCCCCTTTATGAGTCCCCTCCCCGACCGGCCGACGAGATCGATGAGACGAAAATTGCAGAGGGGATCTAGGATATGTCATTTCGTTCTATTTTCAGGGGGAATCGAGGGTGAGGGTAAATGCGAATTAAAGATATGCACGGAAAAAATGACGTTCCCGGTTTTAGCAAAGGGCAGGATCGCTGATAAACTTTCGCTCTTACTGCGGGATTAATCCCACCGATAATGAAAATCTTAGCAATTGTACCGAATCGTTGATGTAACCATTGGAGAGGTTTATTTGGAAAAAAAGAATTGTTGCTAAGTTAGAAAATAAATTTTGGGCAACGGCTGGAGATGTATGGAATCGCTGAGAAAGAATATTGCTACTGTCAATTGAATTTCTGGTACCCCGAAGAAGCAATCGGGTTTTGGTTGTCAATCTAACTGAGATATTTCTGGAGATCAATTTTCCTAGCAATTTCACATTCGGTGATGTATGTAAAATTTCTTGTTACGACTGTGAATTCTTTTTCCGCCGGCGGTGTCGAGATAAATTTCAACCTTTGGCGTCACTGGCTGAAGATGGAAATGCATATTAAAGATATTGTGTCGAGATAGATTCGGACCTTTTGCTGTCGTAAAAGTCGCATCACGGACCGAAGATGAAACCACGACAAATGGGTTGGCCGTCCTGGGGGACAATAACCGAAGGCGGACGGATGCGATTGGTCGTCTCGAGGACGTTATCGTCGATTCCGCGGAGCGTTTCTTCCGCGAGCCCGAATCGCGGAAAAGTGGGACGTGGATAAAGTCGCGGCGTCGCGACGCCGAGAATGCGCGAACGATGGCCGCATCGATTTCCATAATTCCGCGATTCGCGTGCCGAGAGCGCCCCTTGCGGCTGCTCCGCGAGCTGCGACATGGAGGGCACCCGTTTAAGTCCTGGCATCTACTTTGTTTATGGACGCGTCTTCAACGCTTCTTTGAGATCCCTTCCTGATAAAAAAAATTGCCCTCTAGTTTTTTTCGAGGAAACGTTGCATCGAAATTGTTCGATTAAAAGTCGTCCGGTTTTTAAGCTAAAAAATGTAGTCTATGTTAAAAAGTGCATTTGAATTTCTCTAATAAACGTCGCACGACTTTATTTATACGCATCCGTCCTCGGTGTCCGGTTTATCGTCGGGACGTACCGCGAACGACGCATTCGCGACGGGTGCAGTCAATGCGACGCACCCTGCTGCAAATAGTAAGTGACGGACTGGGGACAATAACGAGTTGTTTCGCGGGCAGTGAAAATATGAGATACGTCGACGTCGCCCCGACATTGAGCCCTTCAGCTCTAACAACGTATCGTCTCGGCATGTAACCCGAGTATTAAACGGGAGTATTTTTCTGCCCTGGGGGTACATTTATTCACTGAACAGGAAAAAAGCCACTTGCATTAGAATTTGCAAACATTTTCCTGAAAACTTCGTGGAGGTCTTTCCGGAATGAAATTCATAAAAGGGTTAGAGTAACCCCCGGAGGAATTCGATGGTCTCGACCGTGGACCTCGTTGAACTACCTGTAATGAAAATCACCGAAGGGTTAGCTTAACTCAAGCAGTGCTTTTTCACTCGGGGAAGATTTTCGAACTGGCAGAAAGATCGAGAATATCCCTCCGGGTGGCTGGACATCTCTGGGAAGGGTCCCTGAGGGAAGTATGCCGAAGAGCCGAAGTATCCGCGCGATTTCCCGCTGCCGATATCGGGCATCGTTCCCGTATTGATATCTGCGACTAAGCTCTCAGGAAGAAGGATGTAGAGCCCGATTCGGTCCAGCGGCCCGAATCGGGGGCTTTATTATTATTCCGGCCCGCTCCGAGCTCATGGCGGAGTTCGATCGTCAAAGGAGGGCAGAGGGTCGATATCTCGAAACCCCCTTGAGGAGGATTCCTAAGGCTGCTGCATTTTATTGCACCTGCCTCAAGGGAGCACCGACTCGCCTTAATGACCGATCCAGGGGCGATTTATTAAAAATCCTTGAGAACTTTACCACGATCTCCGGAAAGGAGGGCACCCACTTCGTATCGGGACTAAGGGAATCGGCCAATGGCGCATAACTTTTCCGGATCGTACGTCACTCGGCACGGCACGTAAAGTGCAGCCGAGGACCCCTTTATACTTTGGAAATTGATTCCCCTGTAAGGTTGAAGAATCGCCCGCAATTTCGGAGCACAGCGCGAATGCCGGACCCCCCGTGGGACCCGCCATGTATCAGAAGTCGTCATTCGCACGTGTAGTGATTTAATGTTAAACATGGGACGGACCTCAGAGTCCATATGTAAAGTCCTCGAGGGGACTCCTGGAGAGGCGACGACGGGGGGTAGGGGTTCCTTATGTAAGAAGGGATGCAAATGTGACAACGCGTTCCACTATTTCAAGGAAGGTAAGGTAAGGTGCCGTGGATATTAGAAAATGTAACGTCAGTGTCTTAGGCTAGGTTGGGCCTTGTTCTGAGGGAATACCTCATTTTTACACATTTTTTTTTGTGACCTATCAGGGATATCTCACGGATAAAAATTTAATAATACCCATTATCAGCTGAAAAACGTGATAAGTACCTCAGAGACGGCCTCGGGAGCTCGAATCACCCTTTTGTTCATGACTTAGCCTTGATCTCTCACAAATTATGGCCTCAAGACCTCAGATCCCATTTTCATCCCCAACTTACCAATGGCATCTCATATCTGATCAAACGATCCCCATTTCGTCGCCAACGTCGCGATAAGCGTGTCGTCAATAAGGGGGTGAAAAGCGGGCCCCATCAGCAATCGCTGTCATGGCGCATGCGAGGAGTCGCGAATGCGACAATTCGAGCGGCTATTCCTGCACTCGGGGGGCGCTTTCAGCTCGCAGCGTGTAAGCTCGGTGAAATCCGAAACTCGAGGTTGACTTGGCGGGATTCGGGCTTCGCGGGGGGGAAAAGCTCGGGAGCGTACAGCCCTTTGTCTCGCCTCGTCTCGCCTCGTCTCGCCCCGTCTCTCGTCTTATTGTGACCGGGCCCCGTGAATGGCAGCCTCGCCCTGGCGTGACGATTGCATGGAAAGCGCAGTTCTCGAAGTGTCCTGGAAAAAAGTTCCGAAGCCCAGGAAAAGCTCGCCCCTCTCGGCGGAAACGGCTCGATATCGCGCGGACTCACCGCGAGAGAGGAGTCGCGCTTTTCTCTCCTCTCCTCCCCTTTTCTCCCTACAAAACCTGCGTGAAAATTGCTCGCGCCGAATTCGCGACGACTCGCTTAAGCGAGTGACTCGTCGAGGTCTCTAGAGACGGCATAAGAGCTTTTCCAGACCAACTTTAGAAACGATGAAGTCGAGATTTCACACTCGGTCGGCAAAAATTGCATTCCGCGCATCCAAGCTGGCAGATGGCTTTGCGACGCCCTTACATCAATTTTGCTCGATTGAAATCATTATCGTTAGGGTTACCTTAGATCTAGAGGGTCGGCTCGCCGAGATGAAATCACGAATAAGCCTTTCAGCCTCCTCGCAAGCTCACGTGAAAACTCCTCGCTGACGATTGTCTTAAGGTGGCACGAAAGCGTCGTATAACCAAAAGGTCTAAATATTTGTAAAACTTTTCTCCAAACTAGGTGCACCGAATAATTTGAAATATTAATCCGCGATTATGAAAGTTCTAATAAAGGTCTTGGAACTCTCGAAATTTAATTTTTCGAAGAAAAAATTTCGTATTTGTCCCGGAAGAACCATGAAAAATGTTGGTTCGAAAAATGAAATTTCGTGGATTTCAAGACCTTTGTTAGGACTTCCATAATCGTGGATTAAAGTTTCAAATAATTCGGTGCACCCTGTTTGGACAAAAGTTTCATAAATATTTTAACGTTTTGATACATACAGAACGACCCATTCACGACACCTTAAGGTTTAATTTCGATATTACGAATATCAGAATCTGAAAATTGGAATTAAAATTACCGCCTTTGGCGGAAATGTCTTATTACAGCACGGCCGGCTCGTTTATTAGGATAATTGGTAGGATCGAAATCCGGGCGTCCGTAGCGGGATTACTCGGTAAATAAAATTCCTGCAATTACGAGAACGCGACATAATGGCTCGGTCACAATTAACTCGAATTAATAGTCGATGGGGGAGAGCGCGTTGTCTCGTTTCCTCCGGCGGCCTGTTTGTTATTTCATAGCAGTGCGCTTTAAAAGCGTTACCGCTCTTCTCGGAATTGCCCCAGGGATAAAATTTGTCGAAGCTTGTCGGCGTTGCGTGATAGTCCGGTTACAATTAACCGAGGTGTCTCTTCGCTGCGTGTGCGCGCAATGAGCCACCCATGATGATCGCCTATCGAATTACCGCAAAATCCAATACCCACTTTTCCTGCACTTCGGCCGGTCGGAAATTGTTGATTTTTGCGATAGAGAGGGATTAAAGGACCCGCCTGTCGTTAGCAGTAACCGAAATACGTTTATTTAATAGTCGACGGCTCTGCCGGCGCCAGCAGGAGTGCACCGAGTGCACCGACTGCATTACCCCGATCGCTCCATTTCCAGGATTTCGCCATAATTGATGTCCTCGAAATCGTAATTCCCAGGCTCTGTCGGCCTGCTCAAAATTAGCTCCGCGCCCGGTGCTCATAAGGAATAATTTAATTCGACGATCCGGTCGAAACGAACAAATAGTTCGCAATTCACAGGATCCAGGATCCCCAGGATCTCCTGAATCCCAGGATGGGACGTCGTGCTTGAAAGTTTACGATATTTGCCGTTTTGAACACCCCCGACAGCGACCTCCACGCTGCGCGGAGGAAGTGGCTTTGTGTGCTGCACCGATGGCGCCGAGAATGCACTCCGGCGCGTTTCAAAGACAGAAAGAGCGTTGCACGGGAATAATCGCACGTGAGGATACATGGATTCCGCAAATAAAGCCCGCGATATCGGCGACAAAGGCTAATTAGGTTTACATGGGGATCGGTACACCCCGTTTTTGGTATACGCGTCCGATAATGTCCGCTCGCCCTTTGAAGCGCCGCACGTCGAAGCGAGGTAGCTACTGAACTATTGGAAAATACCTGACCCATTTGTCTCTTCTCTGGAAAAATAACTGTACACTCTGCTTTACAACGCCGCCCCGATAAACCGCGTAACTTCGTCCCCGCGATTTAATTAAAACTAACAATAAACGCAGAGGCGTCGCTCGCCAGGCGCGCTCGCCGGGTCTGAAGCTGCAGAAAAGGAGGATCAATATTTTGTCCCCGGCTTCGAGGGGATGCTGCAGGTTGCCGATGATCTCTCCCCTCGAGATAGACGACGGGAGGAGACGGAATCTCCTCGAGGAGACCCGGAAACGAGCCTTTCCCAAAGTAGATCGATAGGTACCTACAGAGGGTACCTCCGCCGGATCATCTCGAAATTCTTGTATATGTCTCCTCCTTTGTCCGCGATCTTCTGCCTCCCTTCACGTTTACTTATTTACATGGCATTCTACGGATATACTTAACATTTACATTTACTTAGAGTTACTTAAAATTACTTAGATTTATTTCTGGATGTTGCGAGGGCCGCATGGCCTCCGCGTTCAAGGTACTTCTTTGCTGGCTCCCTCCACGAAGAAGGGGTCTCCATTTTCGGGAATTAATTCTGCAGCTCCAGCTCCACCTGCTGCAGCAGGTCCGGCTCTGAGACATGGAAATGAGACAAGATATCCTGAGTATTTTTAAGAACTGAGTATTTTTAAGGCAACGCGAAAGTGGCGTCAAAGAGGTCTCGTTTATGAAATTTATCTCCGAACTGGGTGTACCGAATCGTTTCTAACTTTATAACGCGAATATGAAGGCTATAAGCAAGGTTTTGTAGCCTCATAAATTTCAATATTTTGTAAGTGTTATTGGAAATTTTTTTAAAATTTCAGATAATGAAATTCCATGGGCGTCAGGACCTTCCGTACAGCCTCCATATTCACGTTGTAAAGTTCGGAACGATTCGGTACACTCAATTCGGAGAAAAGTTTCATGAACTATCGACCCCTCGGATGGCACTTTCGCATCCCCTTAAACATGATTTAATTGTCTCTAGTCGAAGCCACTCGTTACTAGAGACATTCGTCAGCTCCGCGATTTCGGTTCTTGCAGCTCTAGCCGGCTCTTCCGCTTACAAGGAAGAAGGAAAGCGTCCTGGAAAGCGGAGAGCGCGTCTGCATCTTGCCTACTGGAAATTGGTTCCGGGAAAGGATGAAATTTAGTCGTTCGGGTTTCCTTGAGCATAAATATCAGGCGAGTGCAGCCTCCACCTTGGGATCTCCCCGGGAGCGATGCTTCTTGCCAAACCGCACTCCAAGCTTCGTTTAGTGGAGGGAACCCGAAGAGAGAGGTATACGTCTCCATTTATACGTATACATTTAAAATACCCCAACAGTGGAAGAAGTACTCATCCTTAAATAACCACCGAGCTCGGCCTGGGGGATTTATAAATCCCGCAACATTTTTCCAGGGGGAAAAAAAAAATAGCGAGCAGGGAAGGAAGAGCGAAGAGCATCTCCGTCTTGGCTATCGGAAATGCGAAGGGGGTGGGCGAAATTCAGTCGCCCGGGTTTTCTGGGCATAAATACGAGGCAAAAAGGAGGTTCCACCGTGCGACTCGCTCCAGGGCGGCAATCTGCAGCCCGACGTCACTCCTGAGAGAGGAGGCGCGGTCGAGCGAGGGGGAGGAAGCGAGAGAAGAAACGGAAGGTGGTCGGCAGAGGGAGAAGAAGTAGAAGAAGTTAGGCGAGTCATAAATCCGGCGCCTTGCCACGTGGACGTCGAGATAGGGAAGAAGCTTCCGGCGATGGTACCCGGTCCAGGACGAGTCCAGGACCTGGTCCCAACCAGGTCCTGCAACCCCCAGTACTCTCGGAAATTAATCGCTCTCGCCCCTCTCGTCATGCTAGTCCGACTCGCTTATTGCCATCGCCATTACTAATGGCCTCGAAAATTCATACTCGAGTCGTTCTCAATTTCCGACACATGATCCACGTCCGGTCGATGCACTTCGACGTGTACCTAGGTGCTCTCTGCCCCTGGTACCTCGTTTCTTGGCCGACTGCATGTTTCAAGGTGTTATGAAAAAATCATTCTACAAATACAGACCGCCAGAATATTGATAAAATTTTCCTTCAAACTGCACTGAGATAAAAGTGCACTGAACCAAAGAAATACTTTCGTTAATTCGAAAAATTAATTATTCGATAAAAATAAATTGTCACAATTCTGCAGAAACGTGGGATTGGATTTATTCCAGTTTCTTCCGGTCAATGATTTGAATGAACAAAATATTTCTTTGGTTAAGTGAAATGATATTTCTCAGGGTGGGTGCACCGAATCATTTGAAACTTCAGCACGTGATTACGGAGGCCCTAAGGAAGAACGCTCGTGAAATTTCAGTCTTCGAGGAATCATTTTTTTCTTTCTTCCAGACTAGAACCAAGGACACAGAGAAATTTTTGAGAAATGAAATCTCACGAGCATCGTGTCCTTCCTTAAGGTAGGAATAATCACTGAAACTCCAAATGATTCAGTGAACCCAGGTTGGAGATAAGTTTCATAGATATTCTAATATTTTGATATATATATATATAGAATGTCCCTTTCATAATATCTTAAATAGTTCCTAGAAAGTACATCTCAGCAGTTTCCGCACCGATGCGACGCGGCCATCAGGCTGTTTTCAGGATTATATTACGGATGATTGGACGGAAGTTGGGCAGGCCAAGTTCCTGAAACTGCCAGAACTTGCGATCGTTTGTTGAAGCTCGGCGATCGGGTTAGCATACTATGCGAAATTATGGTTCTTACGTTGATGCGAGGACAATATTTAAGGGGAAATATCGGGGGAAGTTACCGTTTCGATTTTCCTCCACGTAGAGGCTCGTGCGCTGCGACCTCCTCCGTTCGGAAGTGTATCTGACTTTCGGCTCCACCCTCTGGGCAGGAACGTACGTGGGGGTGGTGAAATCGTCGGGACCTTCGTGGGTTGGAGGGCTGTTTCGTTTCCTGCAGATCGCTAGTCCGATCACCACTCCGATGCCCATCAGCATCAACCCTGCTGCACCTGAAAAAAAAAAAAAAAAGTAGACACTTAGGAATTAATTGGTGTGAAGAAAACAATTTTTCTAATCAACTCCCAGGTATGGAGGAAATACATTTGTTACCTCGAAATTTGTCATGAAAATCCGACTTTTATTTCCGCACTGAGAAAAAACAGTCCCATTAAACCGAAGAAATGTTTTATTGATTCAAAGAATAATTTGCTTGAAATGAGCTGACATAAATTGGAAGCAACGTTTCTTCGGAATTGTGACGATTTATTTCAGTTTATTTCAGTCAAGTGATTATTCTTGGAATTTACGAAACATTTTTTTGATACTGGAGGAAACTAAAAGATTTTCATCTCCTGCGAGTTGAAAATCGATGTCACTGAATGTCAGAGGAGACGCCGGTTGCGTTATAGGACGATTTTTCGAAATTCCCAGGATGGCATCCCGGAAGCAGGACAAGAGGAAACGCGGCCGATATTAAAAACTTGTAATGCACAAAGAGCTCGGCCGGACCGGGGGCAGGTTATTGCATAAACATTGCGTTACGCTCGCTACTCGAATTTCAATTATTATCGAGCGGCTCGTCCAGCTCGCCGTAAATCGATACAGACGTGGCAGCAACGATCGGCGCCCGTTGCCTCGATTTAAATGACAAAGAGGATTAATCGCTTCGCGTGCCGTCCTCTCGGTATCGAATTTACCACTTTTTTCGATCAGCCCGTTCTCGCCGGCTGAGTAACAAAATGGCGCCCCTAGGGAAATCGATCCCTCGAAGTGGCTGGACCCGATCGAAGGGATTTTCAAATCGAGTCCAGGGTCGAAGGATCCCCCAAGGGAAGCATCAGGAGGCCCTGCCATCATCCAAAAGACTAACCATAGACCGAAAGTTCGGAATCATTTTCAACCCCTTAACGAGCCGCGAGATAAATTTTCTTCGCGACCGTTTCTAGGCTTTTGTTTGATCGCTAAATAAATCCCCCGTGTAATGGCGATAATAAATCAACGAGGGAACGAGCTCGTGCCCGGTTCCTGATATTTATAGCTGGAGATGAAATCCCCGGCTCTGGGGAAATCGATCTTTAAAAGTGCTCGGACTCGATCAGACGGATTTTCAAATGGGGCACGTCCGTTCCCAGACGAGGATCAGCCGCTTACGGAAATGGGTGTATGCAAGTTCGGACGCATGGGAAAGAGAATATGGACGAAAAGCTCGATGGAAACTGGAAAGGGTGTAAACGGGGTGAAGAAAGGGTACTGGTAATTTTCGGTACATTCGTGTCCTTCCAAATTTCGCAACTTCGGGGGTTTTGGATTTCGTCTTCGGGTAAACCGTGGGAATCCGTAACGAGCGAGCTACCCTGCGAGTTCTGTAATTTCCAAAGGACTCCTGAGGAGGTAGGACGAGTAGTTCACGAAGACAGGAAACGCAGGCGCAACGACTTCAAAGGACCCTTCTTAGGGATTAGATAAGGACTCGTTACACGCTTCGAAAGTTCTCGCCTTGAGTGACTTTTGCTACTCTCGGCAGCGTCTTTGGGGTTGTCATTAATAGGAGGCTCTTTGAAGAGCACTCGAAAGACTCCAAGAAATGCACCGATGCAGTCCTGGAGCGATCGTTAGGTCGGGTTACGATTCTCTGCAAAAGGGTGAGGATGAGGATGAGGGTGAGGATGTCATCGTTGTGTTCTAAGGAAGGTTGAGATCGTTAGACCGTACAGAATCAGGACGAGATCGCGAAGAAATCATCAAGAGGTCATCATGAAATCGCTTATTATCGAATTCCGTTCTTGTTCACCATATAAGAGATCGAAGGCAATCGGTTCTCAAAGAAGGAAATCGTTTTCCCTGATTTCCGAGTGAAGAGTCCCCCGCATCAAGAGATCTTCAAGAAATCATTAAAAGATTAAAAGATCTTTAAAACATTCACCGATCAACGCCATGACGATGATCATGTTCTCCGAAGCGGCTTTGGGTATGACTTTCTTCAGGTCCTCCAGGAAGACGCCGCCGCGCTCCAACTTCCTGCCGATCGACTCGGCGACCCTGACCTTCTCCAAGAAGAAGGGCTCGCTTCTTCCACGACCATTGACCGCGTAGACGATGACCGTGTAGTCGAATCCTGGCTCCAGGTCGTGTAATTGAAAAATCGGCCTGGGGTTCCTCTCTTGGTAGATGGGAGGCGCCTCCCCCGCCGCAGCCTGGTCGCTTTGCGGCACTTGCAGGATCCCCGAGTGCACCAGAGAGCCTCGCACTTCCAACAGGAAGTGCTGAGGAAGTCCACCGTCCGATCCTGGGATACAATTCACCTCGAGAGCGCTGCTCTCGTTGTGCAGCGAACAGTCCAGGGGTGTCTGGGGTGGCTCTGGAAACAAAAGATGGGACATGAAGATGAACTCCACCGTTATCCATTCCTTATCAGGTGGACGGATAATTTGTTTATTAATTCTCCCCTACGTGTAGAGGAAAATATATGAGAAATGAAAATGAATTCGTGACGCCCTCCTCTTATCAACTAGGCCTAGACTTCCTTTTTTGACTCCTTGCTACGTCCGGAGAAAAAAGTAATACGAGAAATACAGATAAACTCGGCCCGCTCCCATCCCATGATTCGTTTTTTAATTCTTTGCTACGTCCGAAGAAGAAACGCAACAAAAACCTTTGTCGAGGATTTCGGGCGTCCGAGAAAAAGGAAATCGAGAGAGCTCGATAAACAGGGGGAAGGACCTAACGATGGCAATAAATATCGTGAGCATATAGAGCAGCATTCACGACTCCTGGCACCCGAGGGTAGTCCCGATTATGCGAGGGGACCTCACGAGGATTCAACCCCTCAGGAGGCGCGATAGCGGACAGATGTATCCCCTTGCATTTGCGATCTTCCCCGTAGACGAAACCTCACCCCGAGGAACCCTTAGAGCGGCGGCCCGTGATAGAGTTGGCACTCCTACGATAATGCTTTTTATTTCTATCACCCCCTCCGGTTATCGCGTTGCTTTACGACGAGGTCTCTGCGTATCACCCCACACATATGATCCCAGCCACCCTGAGAAAGAAACACGTCTCGTAGCAGTATCTCCACTGCTGGTCTCGATCGAGCACCCTAGACCTTAAGGTGATGTCAAAGTGACATCAAAGCGATTCGTTTATGAAACTTTTCTCCAAACTGAGGGTACCGAATCGTTTCAGGCTTTACCACGTAAATATGGAGACTCTAAAGAAAGTTCCGACACCCATGACATTTTTTCTCTAAACATTTTATAAATGTCTATAAACAAATTTTTTAAATTGAAATTTTATTGGTATGAGAGCCTTCGTTGTAGCCTCCATATTCACATTGTCAAGTTTTAAACGATTCGGTACCCCCAGTTCGGATACAAATTGCAGGAACGATTGGCCCGTCAGCTGCCACTTTCACATCCCCTTAAAAAAGGAATATAAATAATTCAGTCGATGGGAAACAATTTTCCCTGGAGGGTGAAAAATTGTATCGGCCACGTGGACGAAGACAGGGCCTCGAGAGGCTGCAGTTGATCGAATCCCACTTCGGTCCATTTCTAGGCTCCCTTCCAAGCTCGAAACTCATCCTCCCCGTCGTTCCCTCCACGTTTCTTTCCCTTTGTCTTTCCGTTTCTAGCTCGCTAAGCGCTCCGCGTGTCTCCATTTTTACCCCCCCACTGCTCCTCTCGAAACCCGCGCACAATGCGCCCGGGATAATGCGAGCAACGAAGATTTCGCATGACATCGCTACTCGAGTGCGGATATTTCCGCGCGGAGAGGACTCCTCGGGAACGTCGCTGCTGAAAGCCCCCGGTTTCCCTCCATTATCCCGTAGCGATTTCTGTCTGCGAATCGCAGACCCGCCCGGGCGAGCGATCGCTGGGGGAGTCTTGCCCCCCGCGACGTTTACTGCTCGGCCGAATTTTAAAAGGGAAACTAAACTCCTATCCACCCCCGACCACCCCCTAGGACACGGTTTCGTCGTTCAACCGAGTGCCTCCTGGCTCCTCTATTGCGTCCGCTATGTGCAACGAACGTTGCATCGGGATGTGCAGCGAATGGTGCATAGCAATGTGCAGTAAATGTCGCGCCGCGACGCGATGGAAAGGAATCATAAAGAGATCAACCACTCTGGAGAAGGTGTGGAGGCGGTAAAGACGTCGCACATGAGTTTGGAAGTTCCGAAGGGGTGCAAGGTGGAAGTCCAGTCCGAGAGGGTCTGCAGGGCGTGCTATCGCGGCATCTGAATGCAACGGGTGCGCTGCAGCAGAATTCCGGAGACCGTTCCTGTAAGGTCCTGGCCGTCACGAGGGACGTAATACGTGATCCGGGCACGAGGAGGGCGATGTGCGAAATTTAAGTAAACGCTGAACGTGCAATTTCCCCCTTATCGTGGTACTCTTCCGGCCATGTATTACACGCGTTTAATGGCGCGTAATCCTCCGAGGAGGTCGCATAACTCACCCGGGGAGATTTACAGGTAGAATTCACCTGCGGACTTGACTGGAAGGTGAATTCCTCCCTACAAGCCGAAGGAACCTCTTTATTTGCGCGCAATTTCGCCTTATCAACCCCTAGAAGAAGACCCATTAAGGCGATATGAAAGTGGGATCTGCGAGGTCAATCGTCCGTGAAACTTTTATCCGAAATGGGTGTACCAAAGTTAAAAACCAGAGTTCCGGGAGTTAAGGTGAAATCACTCAGCAGGTGAGTTAAAACGATTTCGCGAGATCTAGAGGATGATACAGCAGCGAGGGGTGGCACCCCCTCTCCCCACTTATTATTCAACGCACTAGGGGTGCATCCAGGAGGCAGTCGGTGGTTATGGGAGTAAACCGGAAGTTTAAGGGACCGTTAGGAATGTACATTTCGTTCGAGAGTAATAGTAACGCTGAGGGGGTGGCCGGGGGTGGGTTCTCCATTGTTTAATAATGAATCGCTGCAGGTCGCGGGGCGAAGGAGGGGTGAAGTTAGAGAGGACCGACCGGAGAATTTCCGTCCGATTTCGCCCACTCGAGGCTCGCCGTCTGAGCCGGAGTTGTTCCTGCGAGGAGTCGAGACGGAGATGGAGAGACCCACCCCAGGGTGTTGGAGGAAGATGCAAAACCGCGGATGCGACAGCGAGATCGGAGTTCATGGGCGCCGGAGAGAGACACAACTACCCCTGGTTCGCCAAGTTCCACCATGGGTGTACCAACATGGCAACTTGGGGCGGTGCTGGTTGTTCTGCCCGATTTAACCGAGTACACCCGCCGTAAAGTCGCATCGCGTTACGGTTACACCATCCGCGACATAACCGGATAGCCCTGTGGGGCGCGCGGAAGGTGTTTCGAAAAGTTCCCGACACATCCCCGGAACCAAGGTCTCTCCATTTGCTAGGGGGAGAAAACCATTTAAAGCCCTTCCTCCCTGAACTTTGACCGAGGGTGGTTCCTCTAGGAGCGATAGGAGTTGCGATTAATTCCCGCTACCCGACGAGACGGTCGTTCCGCAGCGGATGTGCCGGAGGCCTCCGGGATGAACACTGAGAGACTCTGAAAAATCGGAAACTTGGAATGGCGGCACTTTTTATGGAGAACTTTTGTGGTGGAAGTCTTGGCTTATGGGAGATAAATCGCGACTTGAGAAATGGGGGTGTAACGAAAAGGGATTGTTAAGGAGGAAGAGAGAGAGTGAGATCGGGGGGAAGAGCCTCATGAATGAAACAAAAACTGAAACGGGGGTGTTCGTTATTACATGAGTAGGTATGAGATAAGGAAAGGGGGAATACTAAAAGTCTCATCTCTTATCAGGTAAGACCAAGAAGAAAGCAAGACCAGAGTATTAATTCGCTTTAAACCGTTTCACTGTTCTGTAACATATGTAACTTTTTAATTCTTCATAGAAAAAAAAAAAAAGGAATTCCGTAGGAGTCATTTCCATTGCACTATTACCCCGCAATTACTCTTTCCACCCTCCTCGACGTCTCCTTCTCCTCGACTGATAAACCTGGCTTGAAGTATGAATAAAGAAAAAAAAATAAGAAACATTTCATTTCCAGGTTTCACTTCCAATATATATATTTTTTTTTTTGGCCAATAGTATTTGGAGGGGTGCGAAACTCGACTATCAGGGTCTCCACTTGTTTGCCCGATTTCCTGCGATTTCAGGAAGTGGAACTCACTTGCTGGCAGCACGTTAAAGATGCAGGGAGCACTCTGGCGACCGACGTTGTTGCTCGCCCAGCAGGCCACGGTGCCGAAGTCCGCCTCGGCACCCGGGGTGTACTCGAGGGTGCTCGTCAAGCCTCGACCCTGCGATCTCGAGTTCTGCATAGGCAGGACGTCGCCGAGGGTCCCGTTGAAGGTCCAGGAGAACCTGACCGAGTCGCTCGGCACGGCGTCGACCTCGCAGCGTAGAATCACGCTTTGGTGTCTCACCACTGATATTTCCTGCCTCTCGTGGCCCTCTCTACACCTTGGAGCATCTGCAACAAGCGCGGAGCCTCTTCAGCATCCTCCGACTCGAGATAAGACGGCGTCGCTAAACTCCGGGGAACTCGTAAAGGGGTCATCGAAATGGCGGAGATTAATAATCGAGTCGACCCTCCCTTACATTTCATGTGCACGAGCAACGGCGAGCTCTTCGTCTCTCCCACAGGATTCGCCGCCAGACAGGTGTACTCCCCAGAGTGGTCCAGGGTCAGGACTCTGAGTGTCAGGGTGTTGGACGCGATCAACGTGCCGGTCGCGACGTCGTGGTTCAGAGGGACGTCCTGGGGAAGAAGATCGGAAATTATGCATCTGGACCGACAAGGGAGGTTCCCCAACCCGGAGATTCAAAAAATGCCCAAACTTAGGGGATATTCAGACTGTCTGTAATGTTTCTTTGAATGCCGAAGAAATATTTTCTATTCTAGTTCGAAGAATAATGATTTAATTCAAACTCGAATAAATTGGGTGCAACGTTTCTTCGTAATTCTGACAATTTATTTGATTATATATCGGTCAAATAATTCTTGGAATAAACAAAATATTTCTTCGGTTCAATGAAAATTTTTTTCTCAGTATAAACACAGATTGAATGGGGATTTTGACACCAATTTTAAGGGGGGTAGTGATGTATAAACCTTGGCTATGAATTTCATTGCGTAAAAAGGGACGACTTAAATTCGCATATTAAGGTCTTTTGATAAGCGCGAGTGGGTTAGACGTTATCAGGAGACAGAGGTCGATCGAGATCACTCGAATCTCGTGACTTCCGGTGAAATTGCCTTCTCGTGTCTCGCGGACGTTATCCGCCGATTTTCCGAGATTTACCGGATGGCAATTACCGTATATCGAAGCCGAGATTGGCGAAACGTGAACCGGCTCGGCGACCGAATTAATGAAATCGTGGAGATTAGGTGTTGCATTACAAGGACCGAACCGCGCCAGGACACGCAAGGATTTCTTTTATTTCCTCTGCTCTCCTGGATTTTTATTTCTTTTTTGAGAAATCACCTTTCGTGATATCTCCGCCCTTTGCGGAAGCAGTCTTAAATCATTCAACTGACAAGGGTTGTGCCGACGAATCATGAAGAAAGCATCTGGCGCTATCCCGATGACGTGTGACCCCCCTTAAGGCCATTTCTATAGCGATGGGGAAAACAACAAATTTTCATGGGGAAATATGATTGCAGATTCCCAAAAATCCAACGATTCCCATTTTCCGCACGTGCGATAATAAACCGAGAAAAAAATGTCACTGAACCATATTGTTAATTGGCGACGTGAACCATTACGTTAATTCAAAGAATAATTGGCCGCCATTTTAAGGGCATTTTTATGCGACAGAGAGAGCAAAAAACGTTCCCGCAACTTCCATGGGGGAAAAATAAATGTAGCCCCAAAAAATCCGGCGCTTCCTATTTTCCTCGTTTATTAACCCCGACGTGTACACGGACTCATTTGGGCGCAATTCACGTCCATGATTCGCAGCGATTCCACGTGACGTGATTCGGTCGGGGACGGTCAAAGCCGAGTCCATTAAAATGTAATATTATTTCATTAAAAACCAATCAATCCCGATATATGCGGTGGCGGTATCTTCCCCGAGCGCGGTCCAATTCCACAAAGAGGGGTGAAATATTGTCGCCATCGCGGCGGCATATCCGGTGCAGTTTTCACAAGTCGGTACGGCCTCGACCTCCCGTTGCAGTTAATGCAACTCTTCGATTGCGGTAAATCTAACTTGTTGCACCGAGAATCGCGCCGACGAGCCGTCAATTTCCTGCAACGGTGCTCGCTAGTTATTCCCCTCGCGTTAAGGATCGTTCTTTACAGCCCTCCAAGGTGCATAATCGCAATTCGCGCATATAATCGATACAACTTCGCATCTGTTCCGAATAAACGACGCGGAAACGGATGGAACACAAAACAACGAGAGACGCAGCGATACCGTCTTTCTGAAAAATGTCGCCCCGAAATTTGAGCGATCAGGGGACAAACAATCCCCCGAAAAACGGGCGACAAGTACGATTACACCCGCGGATGTCCCCGACTTACGTCCGCGAGATGCCGGAAAGCTCGACCGCCCGGAAACCGCGTCAAAGTCCTGCGGAAAAACCGCGGGTCGATCCGACCAACCGCGACGACCCCGGCGCGTCCATTTCTTCGGCCATTTCCGGCTAGAGAGGCGCCTCCGAGATATCAAATGAGTCGTTGTTAATTTGCCAGAAAAATTATCCCGCCTGCCTTGATATGTGATTTTAATTCCTTAATCGCAACATCTCATGTTTCAGTAACTTTTAAAGCTCTTACTTTTCTCCGTGCTGCCCTCCAACCCCTCTCGAGACCACCCACCCCCAGGAGTGGCGGTACACCGTTTGCGTACAGAATATGTCCTATCTATTCCCTTATCCAAATTTGAGGCCCGTTAGATTTAGTCACAGCCCCAGGTCCCATTTCGTGTAATTCGGGATGCCGCATCCTGCGGACACCGGGATGTCGCTTTAGCGCCCCACGCAAGCCTCGGATGCACAGGGTGTCCATCGGAAGCACGAGCCCTCGATTTCTGCCAGAGTCCCATTTCCCGAATCCACCCCCTGGGAAATAAACCAAAAATCGGGTTTTTTTTTCTCCCCCAATCCCGACACTGGGGTATAAATTTGCAAAAATCGTGACCAGCTGCGCCGGAATTCGTAGAGTCACGAAGGGTCCTCCGTAACAGAGGGATGCAGTTTATATATGTGCATAGAAATGCGCTAGGGCTGCCGGACGGTCTATCACGTTCAGACCTTAAAGTCCATCCCCTAGGTGCCGGAATCACGAGATCGACCTGCCCGTTGACCACCCAGTGTATGTTTGTAGACGGTATATTACAGTAGTTCGGCTAGTAGAGGGTGGCCGAGCATTAGTGTTATCCCGGACGTGCTCGCATGGCGACGGGAATGCATCGGCCAGAGCTGGATGCAGATCTGAGCAAGGCAGGGCCATAATGGATCGACCTGCGTGTCCGGCACGCGCTGGATTCAACCCCTTCTTGTAAACTACCCCGCGGAGTAACGCACGTCCGAGTGCATACTCGCCCGAAATTCCAGCCGTCCTCGATAAAGAATTTTGTGGTAAAAATTCTCCGGTTACTATAAAAGCAAACGACTGAGTTTGATAATTCTCTCGATAACGGAAGGACGTAGAGGAAAGGGGTGAAACCCACCCCCAAAGTCGTTGCTGTCGCTGCACCTCGATTTTCAGATCGATGGTAATCTTCGCCGCTTGCGTTGCAATTTTTATCAACGATGGAAAAAAGTAAACTTCCTCCGTCGAGTATCGCACGTATGCCTGAATACTCGCCCAAAAATTCTAGCCATCCCCAATGAACAGTTTTATAGCCAAAATTCTGCCCCAATGACAAGACAAGCAACGAAAGTCGACACTTTTCCCGATAAACGCAGAACGAGTCGAGTCAAGGGGAGAAATCCACCCCCAAAGTTGTTGCTGTCGTTGCACCTCGATTTTCAGATCGACGGTAATCTTTACCGCTCGCGATGCGATTTTTCACAGTTTCCACCGTCGACAGGGGACAGTTTTAATGGGGAAAGTTGCGTCTTCCCTCGGTATGGACCTTTAAGGGTGCCGACACTTCCGAGTCGGGGAAAGAGCAGATAGAATTATAGAAAAGAAGCACTCCTTTCGCCGGGACGGAAAGTTCACGTCGAGAGCTCGACTTTCTTTTTGACTTCAATGAAAGGGGTGTTTCCGAGTAATAATCGTCATTTTCCCCTACGTCATATCATGGCGGCCAACTTGATAACGAAGGAGTCTTTTAGATCCGATCGAACGAAAGCACTGGTAAAAAGGGCGTCTAGAATATTCATTTTCTTTTTTTAATTTGCATAAAGTCCCCCAGTGCTCTTTTCATGACGTCCCGGATTTTCGATGCACTTTGACCGTCCCCTAGGGGCATCCCGATTGCAGCCCTTTGAAGGGGTTATCCATTAAACCTGGAACTCGGATAATCTTTCGGGCACTCAATTTTTTTCTTCCCCCCTGGAGAGTCGAAAACTTGGAATTCGCGAATTTCAATGGCGGGATGTTCGAGAGTGAACGGATACAGCGATTATGCGAAAGTGCATTATATCGCGAAGGTAAACGCCACCTCTAGCTGCGAACTTAATATTCCCTCGCGCTACCTTGCCTCATCCTTCCAACCTTCCACCTCGAAGCCTAACCTCGCGGAAACGCACCGCACTCGCGGCCGCTATTATCCGGAGCTCCCGATTACGCGGGCATACATATTTATGCGGAAACTCGTTACGCCTCCTCCTAGCCAGTCTCGGCGTTTATTCCAACCTTTAAATCCGAGTCCAAGAGGCCGCCCGCTGGTTTTCCTATTTTTCGAGCAGGAATCTCCACCTCGCGATTTCGACGCGCCGTCACGGTCGACGTATCCGTTATTTCGAGTTCAACCAAGGATAATTCCCTTCTACTCGAGTGAACCAATCAGGAAAGCCATCGTTTTTTGTTCCCTTGACGTTTTTTTAGACGTAGAGGGGAAGCGTGACGGGAATGGCTCGGCCTTTACGAGGTCGTAGTCTATGCCGCGGTAATGCTCATCTTCTGTTACAAATGGTATAAGGTGTCTCCTCTCGAACGGGATTGGCCGGATTTCCTGGAGTTACGAGGTGGCACTTTATCGACATCTCCATTTCCCTCGCGTATCTTTAACGGCACGACAACGATTCATACGCGTTTCCAGGTCCTTCGGTTAAATCGCGGCTTTAAAGAGGTGCAGGCAAAGGGCGAATGAGTGGATGTGAAAAAACGTCCCGCGACAAAAATGGCCGACTGAATAAGTCCGTGACGCAATATCGCGGAAACGCATTTTCCGCCAAAATGCCAATCGGGAAATGTAGCCATTCGTTACTCGGCATGAAGTGTACCATCGTTATAAGCACTTTGCAGCCAACAATGTACGGCTCCCGTAAACATTCGAATATCCGGTTGTGAAGAGTGCATTGGTACAATAACGGCCCCAATATGGCGAGGGGCACATCACAGCTTTATCGTGCATTTCGCTGGCGGCCTTTCTCACGATATAACGTGAAATTTGATTTTTTGCGTATTTTACGAGCCCCTACTGCGCATTCGCAGTTATATCATGGAGATATATACGCGGGAATGGGTTATCAAAAAGGATTCCCTCTCCGCTGCCTGATCAACCCTGCAAAATTCGATATCGTCGCCGACGGTTTCGCACTTTCACTATCGATATCACCTGAAAACGTCATCGATC